TGCGCTCAGATATAAGTACAGATATACACGTAGATTCTTGCATGATTATTAGTTTCATCGATTTGTTTAAAGCTAACTTTCGTGTTTTCGATTGTTGTGCTTTGGAAAAGTCGAACGTTCGTAAAGATACCAATTGGGTTTGGTATTTTTCGTCACTTCATTTCAACGTTTATTTCTCGATTTCTGACAATGTATAAAGCAGACGAAGATGCAATATTGTACAAGAACAATTTTAGAGGAAAGCCCGAACGTCGTTTAACCCATACAAGTTCGAAATCAAAACTCCTATGAACGTTCTAATATAGTTATGTAAAACAACTTTATATACGCCACTGGTATGCAGTAATATAACGTCTTTTGTTTTGTTAAAATGTGTTACCAATAGAATTTAGAATGTCAAAAAAAAAAAAAATAAATAAATAAATAATAGTAATACATTTTTATTTCATCTGAAGTATATTCACAATCATTTATACAAAACATATAACTAGCAAATTAGATAATTAATGTTAATTAACAAGAAAACATGATAGACGGAGTCCAACGACCCCACTTCAGTTAATAGTAGTACATTATAAATTATGTTTGTGTTTGTTTTAATTAAAACTCGTTTTTAACTATTTTGATATTATTCTATACTCACAATAGTTGAGTCTTTCATGGGCGCATTGAGCATATTATAAAACATTTTATACAACTTATTTGAAATAAGTATGAGTAGGTATATTGAATATAATGACAATATTATATGTCTAGGAATCTATACATATATGGATTTATTCTATGGTTTCGATGTAATAACCTTGGATTAAATGCCATATATGTAGTAAGAGCTATATTTTTCTTTTTCTCCTTGAAAAAAATTTTGCACACACGATAAATATAGTATAGATAATATGCGAATAATACGTGTATTATGTTGGTGAAAAAAAAGTCAGTGTTCTTATTATGATTTAATATATTTCTTCGTTTCATTATGAAATTAGTATACTTTTTGTTAAAAAGCTATTTTTCAGATTTTGACTAGTACTAAGTGGACAAAACAATAATTTGTGTGTTATAAAGAAAGTAAAATTTTGGCCTTATTTAAAGTGTATACATTTATGTTCACAAAAACACTGTATTTTGGTAACTTAATTACTGTTTTCGTTAATTAGTTTAACAAAATAATCAAACAGCAAAATAAAAATGATAGTATTGATTACTCAATTATTTGTGTACTACTTATGACCGTGTACACTCAAAAGTTTTTTCTCTGGGCGAAATAATATATATTATATAAATATGTTTATTAAACATATGTTATACATTTAAACTCTCGTGACTTTTGGCTGTGCCACTAACAAGTCAGGCACACTACGGTTGAAACAATGATTCGGGAGACAAAACAAGGGTTGCATACTCGAGAAAACGTAAAAAACAGAATAATTATGGAGTGTACTTTAGTGTAAGGCATGGTTAATGTATATATATATATATAACAAAAAGACTCGTAGCATTGTATTAATTTGTGAGCGTGTTGTTCCTTTTTTCTTCTTACTATTATTTTTATTACAGCGCCCTTCAGTTTCTTTTTTCAAAATAACAACCAAATTTTTCTTGAATATGAACATCTTGTTTACAGGAGGTAGATTTTGTTGTTTTTATTAATATCTTCATAATAATTCATCATTACATAGTTATTTTAGTATGAATAGCAGAATAATTTTAGGTATACGACTTACCTATGTAATGAAAATAAAAGGACACTATGAAATGTTACAACAAAAAAACCACTCCATTATAAAACTAATACTTTCTCAGCTTTGCTCGAAACTATATGTTCATCGGATTTTGTTATTTCAGCTGTAGCTATTATCGAATTCTTATGAAAATTAATAGCAACAAATGTCGGTGCACCGAAGTCATAAAAACAATCAGTTGTATTAAAATGTTTCCGAATAATTTTGTCCTTAACAAAAACAAATTTCTTTTACGTAAGTCATTAAGATAAAAATCGAATCACTGTTCAGTAAACGATAATAATAGTTTACATATACCTCAACATAGTTCTTTATTACCAAAATTCTGCTGTTTTATTTAAACTACTTTTAACGTTTATTGAAATAATATTTTATATATAGTATACTTAATATCAGCTAATATGACAATATTTCAAGAGTTTTGTTGATATTTTTAGTATTTTAATTATGCCATAAATTCGTTATAGTTTACTTTATGAATAGCGCTTGAGTATTATTGAATAATCAAGTGTTTTTATACTTTTTAGTGTGTTTCTATTAAAAAATATATTAATTAAAACTAGCAGTAAACATAAGTGCATTGTAATATAACTAGTATGTTGTGTAGTATACGAATTTCATTTGTAGTTCACGATAATAAAATTCAATGCTAAAGTATAATGAACCGAAATACTTTAATATAGTTTACAAATCCTGGTAGATAAATAGAACGTCAAAACGCTTTAATAGTTAGGCGTATTAGTTATGTTCTTCTTATTTCTATAATATGTGCTAATTTATAATATTATAATATTAAATAAAAACATAAGACGAGTAATACTTAAACAATAATTTTCCAATATCAATATTTAAAAAAAATCAATACTATGTGTAGCAAAAAACACCTCCGGTCATTGACTGTGACATGATACTTGTGGTTGGTCAGGTCAAATGAGTAAACTAAGAAGTATTTTATTAGCGCTGTTTCATCATCGTGAGTCTCGGGTGAACGAATTTCCACGTGGGGTTTATCACGACAACAAATATAGTCACAGCATTGCAGTGTCGTTTTTTAAAATATTTTCAACGGATATGATTGATTTAATAGGTTATAATGAGTTTTTTTTTAAAGATTTTAAAACAACTTAAATAGGATGTCACTGTGTTTGTGCGAATATTGGAGTGTTTAAGGTCCCATATTGATTAGTCGTGCTGGTATTAATTTTGTTGTAATTGTTATCTTCCGAAAACATCATTTATTTAGTTAGGTTTTTGTTATTTTAATCTCACGGCCCGTTCATAAATATATTATGTTTTATGGGCGACGCCTACCGACACAAAAGGATGATCGTGAGCGCTTACAAAATGCCAGGAAAGTGATCAATTCAAAAAAAAAAATAATAATAAAATGGAATAAATTTATCGTACGACTGGGTTCGCGGAGCGAATGCGGTTTAATTAAAAACACTGAAAAGAGTGGGGGGGGGGAAAAAAATCACAATTGTACTCAACTTGTTCGAGGGGTCAGCGCTGCGCACACAGTAGATACAGCCGTGGTAGATGGTCGGGAGGGCCACACGGGTACGGGTATTTATCCGATTTTCGCACCAAAAAATGATTTATTTCCAATTTATTATTTACAGACCTTTTGCCGTCCGATACATCTTTGTCCGTGCACTGGCCGGCGTACCGCGACACGAGCTTCTAAAGATATTTTGGAGGGGATATTATGGTGAAGCATTCCGATATCGATTTTGTCTTTTTACGCGGCGGCATATGAACAACTGACGGCCGTTGTTTAAGTGCAATGCTGAGTTCGAAGCGGCAGCGGTAGCCAAGCGAAAGCTATAAATAAATTATTGCGTTGTTGTTTGTTATGCGACGACGGTGCGTGGTGCTGGTGGTGGCGCCGGCCCACGGGGGTGTGATCAGGAAAGAAGGGTAGTCGAAGGCGAATTTAGTAGGGACGGAGTGAGGCCAAACAACACGGAACTCGATACGCCGGCTCATTCGAAAAGCCTAATGTGCGTTTTGCCGAATGTCATATTCAGGGCTACCGTCGAGTAGTCCCCAAAGGTCAGATGTGGGGTCCGGTGGTGGTTTTGGGGGGGGGGGGGTATTGTAAGCTGCGGCTGCGTTTGTCCCTTGCAATATACTTTCACGATATGCCATCGCGGGCAGGTATATACATTACATATTAGCCGGTAGCTGTAATAACTTTGACTTATTTACGGGCGTACAAAAAAAAAAAAAAATAAAAGAAGAAGCGATTTAGAACAAAATCAAATAGTGGTGAGTGAAAGACAAAAAAAAAAAAAAAATGAACTATAAGTCCTATAATAATTGCACTATGAATATAATATAACATAACTACCTAAAAAAACTGTTCTTTTATGAATGAGCTTTAGAAAATATAAAAAAAGCGAGATTGCGAATTAATATAACTTTTTATGAGGAGAAATCCAATTTCAAGTTACAACGCCCACCGTGTGTTTCGCGACAAATCGGGAAATATGTATCGACAAATACTTTGATATAATAGCATGTTGTTATGAAACATAACTGAACATATAAGGGTAGTAAAAATAATAATCTCGGGGAAAAGGATTTGTTATAAAATTGTACTGAATTGCAATCATAAAACGAACAAATTGCACGCTGTACAAAACGGTCCCATGGGGATATTAAAAAAAAAGTCAGTGACATTAATCGTTTGTTCTTAATATTGCTTACCATAACCGAAAACTTATAAACATGAATAAGATGCTACAAAAAGTATACCTATTTGAGTGGGCAGTTTAAGTGTGAATAATATTTTTTATGGTTGAAATGAATTCGATAACAATCATTAGTTATTCAAAAAAATTGGAGCCTCACTTTTGTTATGACATTGAAAATATTTGATTGTATACATTTATATAAATGGTATATTGTATTGGCTATATTTAGCGTTTATGGAATTATCATTTTGATATTTTGAATACGCATTGTACATAATTACATAATAACAACTATGTTTTTAATTAGCCTTAAAGTCTTAAAGAGAAGTTAGACAAAATAACCAGTGTCATTGTGACCAGTGGCAATTGGATATTACGTTTAAAAATAACTAATATTCAATTGTCAAGTTTGAAAAGATTTGTGAAATGATTATCCAGAATGATCTATTTACAATGTTGGGTAAATTCTAACTCTGGTTCACTTTAGATGATTTATCCAGCGTGAACCGTGTACGCCTAGCTTAATATTATACTTTATGTTTTTATTTATATGTTTTAGATCCACTATATAAACAATGAAGCAAATAATCTTACCCATCATCTTATTGGTGCTGCTTGTAGTCAGCTCAGGCGTTGGCGCTAAGGTAAGTGTTTTTTATTTTGTTATTAAGCTAATAGAAAATCGATGCTTACATTAAAAATGTAAATCTCAGTTAAAATAAATATTTTCATTTGATCTTTTTTTGCAACCCTAAACACCTTTCAATATTACACGAAAATTTGACAAAGATTTTTACTTTTTGGGCATTTATGGGGTTGAGTAAAGGGTGAATGAATAAAACGATTAGAATACAAATTGGCCGGTTTCCATTTTAAATACACCCTTTTTCTCGGGTTCCTTTGTACCGGTCTTATAGTCACCGCCCACTGTTAAAACGTCCAGGAAACTATGGCATTTAGCTTTTATGCATTACTATAAAGCAATAGAACTATTTTACTAAGGCCGGAAATTCTGCAGATTGTGTAATTAGAAGTTTTAGGGTGAAACAATGGGCGGTAAACAGAAATGGTATTACCGAAAAAGCCCACGATACTATTAAATGCTATTTAATTATATTGTAGAGACATTAATTTCATTTAAGCATGATAACATTTTGCCTATAGACTTTAACTGTATGATAATTGAGCTGTATACATTATTGTTAAATGAGAAAATTTAAGTCTTCTAAGAAATCAATTTATATTGTATCCAATATGTATTATAATTACAGACCAATACTAAAATCTCGAACTCATATGCATACCGTGTAATGAAGCATGCTAATATATTGCCACATTTAGTAGGTATGACTGATTTGTAGATCTTTCTTGAAAGTGGCTTTCTTATATTTTATTACTATTTTTTTTTTTTTATAAACTTTTAAATAAAACGAGAAGTGTAATAATATTATTATTAAAATCAAAAATTAAAAACTCATTTAAGTCGACCCTTGAAATAATAATTACAACAAAAAATAAATAAGAACAAAGCGTGCAGTGTTGTAAAAAAAAATAACACTGTCATAATTAATTTACCTCTTTTTTTTTCACCAATGTAATAAAAATACATCAATCTTTACTGGTGTACGTACAGTAACTAAAATGTCGACACATAATCGATCAAAATAAATTAAATGCAATTTTTAATATTTACAAATTGTATAAATGTACATAAATAAACATATATTTCAATTTTATTTATGTCGAGTTGGCAGAAGAAATAATTGATTAAATATGATTAGTTTGATTCCTTTTATAGAAATTCTATAGCTAAGAAATCCTCTTAGAAAATGTTCTGCCGTTCGAATTTTTATGAATCTTGCAATTTCTTTGTATTATCTATATATTATGAAATTAAAAAACCTTAAAAACTTGAGAAACGTATTTTAGTTTTTTAAATATATTTTATGCGTTTTTTTACACATTTTGTTATATGACTTTGTATGATTCTTCTTCGTCTTTACCTCAAAAGGTGTACACTATAGATTCTTAAATTACAAAAAAATACACTTAAAAATTAAAATTAATTGAAAAGTCGTCTTCGTTGTAGATGAGTTTTATAATATATATATACTTAATAAAATACAAAAAATCAGTTTCTAAAATTTAAAGATATCGCTGTATTTTTTACAATATTTTTTAATTTATTAAAATTTTCATTTATTCTTAATCATGCTACAATTTACTTCATGAATATTAACACACTGTTATGTATTAGGTGATATTTAATACACTACGTAGCGTAATTGTTATTATTATAATAAATTAATCGGAGACACATGTTTGCTGTGATTCAGTTTATGCGTTTTTGTTTAATGCCGGAATATATTTGTGTGGTATATATTTGTCATATGTGTTGCATAATATTTTGTGTACACGTGTGTCGTGTGCTAGGCGTATGGCAGAGTGTACGATTAGTCCGTCTACAGATTAGACTTATCAATATTAGGCGCTACCTGACGACTCTTCAATAACAATAACTTCAATAACGAGTACCGCCAAAAAAGATAATAATAAAATAAGGCAAGTGAAGTGGTCTCTTGTACTATTTTTTTTTTTTTTTTTGAAATGTTGCAACGTCGCTCCGCAAACCGTTAAAAAAGTGGATTCTTTTGGCCAAAAAAAATCCGCTAATTAGTTTTTCTCCGGTCGAGTGAAAGTGTAATAAATATAAAGACGGTGGCAGCGGTGGTCGTTATACAAGTATTTGCCCGAGAAACTTTTTATGGTTTATTGTGCGCACCTTGACGGTGCCGTGCACCCTCGAAACATGGAAAACTGCCTGTTATCCTTTCGCGCAGGCATAATAGCCCAGGGGAAATATTAGTTTGCGATCCGAATCGCCGAGGATGCACAGTTTTACGCATATACACGAGGGAGTTTTTTTCACACTGTCTACCGCTCGGTCGAATCGTCGGGGGTTACCTTAGGGTGCGATAGAGCAGTCGCGTACTTATTTTTTCTTATGTATATTAGTGTATGTATATATATTTTTTTTCGTCGGCACGAATCTTATGTCGTGACACCTCGGTATGTTGATCTCCGGCCGTATAAACACAACCCATACTTCACCGTCTTGTCGAGCCGGCCTCGCCGCCCACTGTACACGGAAGATATACGGGTTAAATATATATATATATATAATTTACGGTCCGATTTCGCTCAGGGGGAAAAATAAATGTTTAGCAGCTCGACGTATATTGTACTTTGTCCCTAAATGTATTTACTAGGACGAAAACGTGCGAAAACTTTGATTTGATAGATGTGCAAGGAGTTTGCAGATTTGGAGAGACTGCATCCGCGAGATGTATTACACGTGTATATAAGGATATATATTTTTATTTTTCATTTATAAATAACGTATTATGTACAGCGCGTTGTCGTAATGGTCACATTTCATGCACCCTAAAAATCATAATACAAACGATATTTTATGGTTATTATAATCAATAATGCCGACGAGTTGATAACAAGAATTGTTATCGTTAATTTTGTAAACAAATTTAACTAGGGGAAAGATACGTGCAAGCATTATAAAATAATTATATTTTATATACTCGACGTAAAGTCAATAATCATTTTGTTCATTCGTTGTATGTAATTATTAAGTGTCGTAAGGGAATTCATCTTGAAACCATCTTATGATGACAGCTTTAGACCTTCAAGGCTCGTCAAGCTACACGATTACGAGTGTCACATTTAGTTTTGCATTTATAATAATCGATTAATACAATATGCGTTACCGCGTTGCGTTTAATTATTGAATTTAGCTTTATAACGAGTTGCATAATTATTATGTTACAATAATTAACGAATCATATCTGTGGCAGATAGAATTGTTTTTAAATGTTGTATCAGAGGTGGTTTTTTATGAATCGAGTACGAGAGTACGACGAACACATAAAATAATAATAATAACAATGTGTGAGGGTCTATGGGGGTAAATATAAATACTCCGATTCGATTGGGCAGCTTTTAGATTATGGCAAAAGTTGTCGAATCTAATTTTCGGCCGTCTGCCGCTTTTGCGGGCCGGCGGTTTTCGTGTTGACTTGCGAATTATGCAAACTTTGTCGACTCTTTTCGCAGCCCTTAATTTAAACCGGCCTATTCGGGGGTGGATAATGCAAATACATTTCACGACGACGGTGGCTGTACGAGTACACGTCGCGACAGCAAACGACGGTGGAACGGGGGCGTGGAACGGGGGCTGTTTGTAAATATTTGTTAGCTCTAGTCCGTCTTGGCCAATGACGATAACGTTGCTTCTTGGCATCGCGTCGAGGCTTCTGTAGTATGATTGATTATAATCGTTTCGTCGCTCCTGCTTTAATCCCTTCCTCCTAGCCCCTCCCCCCCCCCCCCGGTCGATCATGGCCCGCTGAATTAATCACAATATTAAATCCCGAATTACTGGCATACAATGTAATTTTCCCGTTATCGTTTTTTTCCCCTACCGGCAATATAGACCGAGGGTAATCGCCAACGCGAACGGTCCATATCACATAATTAATCCGCTCTTCGCGCACAACATATAAAAGTATCGAGACGTTAGCGACGGGATCCCCCATAGAATTGTGTTATTCATAGCGTCAAATGTAAGTATAGTAAAATGGGTTTTTCGTTAATCACTCGAGATCAGCGGTATGTTTAAGCACGATAGGCAGGTGTTTACAGCGTCTAATATTAAAATTTAGACCATGGATAGAACACGTTAGGTATTGAGCTAACAGAAAGTGTAGATGACGAAGATAGTGGAAGAGACTATTAGCAATAGGCAGAATAGACCACATATTAGCTGCGATGTGAAGCTGAGAAATATATTGCTTTTACAATGTACTTAAAAAAAAAAAAGAAAAACTGTCTGAAAACACGTTAAATTTTTTCCTCTCAATCTATATCTCGATTAGCATCTCTATCAACAATCTGTATTAGTATTATCAACCATCAAAGTACTTTTTGGTACTTCATAAGTTAATAAACTTCGCACTATTTTCTTCTTATAATTGTAGAAAATAACTAAAACATATAAAGAATTTTTAAGTTTTAATTTTAACTATGTGGAAAACATAAATATATATTATGATTATCATAATATATTATACAATATGTATATTTATTTTTGAATACAATTTGACTTTTAGTTCAAAAATGTGACCTTATTTGTAACTTATTGCATTTAACTCTGTATTCAAATATTACGAACATTGTAACTTCAATATATTATTGTACTTAACAGCTGTTCAACGTATGTACATAATGCAGCACGCGAGAGCGCGTTTAGTTTTTAATATTGATTTTTTGGTTGTACAGTTTGAATTACCATCAATTAAAAACACTGTATTCCATTAGGGGAGATTGTAATTGAATACGTGTTGTAAAACACGGTTTGACGTTTTAAAATAAAGTATTAGTTTCTCCCTTCGCTTTCCAAATATGAAACAATTTTATACTTGCTTAAATTCTGATTGTGAAATGTATGTATTTGGTTTCATTAAAATGGTAAAACATTTTAAATCTGGAGAGTTTTTATTATTACTATAGAACTAACGATCGCGGGTATATTTCCATCATAAAAAAATCGTTTATGAAGCTTAAGAATGTA